CAGGGGCCAGGGGAGCAAGCCAGTAAGCAGCATTCCTCCATGGCCTGTGCTCCAGTTCCTGCCTCCAGGTTCCTGCCTTGAGTTCCTACCTTGGGCTCCTGGATGAACTGTGACCCAGGATATATAAGCTAAATAAACCCTTTCCTTCCTCCCCAAGTTGGTAGTGGTCAGAGTATTTTGTCACAGCAATGAAGAGCAAGTTACGATAGTAGCCAAGGCTGCCCTAGCACTTGCTGTATAACCCAGGCTGACTTCCAACTTGCAGGAGTGCTTTTGCTTCAGCCTCCTAAATGCTTGGATTACAGATGTGAGCCAGCATGTCCAACTTTCTAATGGGTCCTTAAAGCAGATGTTTGCATGTCTAATGTATTTTGCCCTTCCCAGGTCAGGACAGTCTAATGTATTTTAATAGCAAACTTACAGGAATACTGCAGACAGCCAGCATTAAAAACATACTTGGGGGGCTGGAGAGATGGCTCAGTGGTTAAGAGCACTGACTGCTCTTGCAGAGGATCCGTGTTTGATTCTCAGCACCCACATGGTGGCTACAAACTGTCCTTAACTCCAGTTCCAAGAGAATCTGAAGCCTCTTCTGATCTGTGAGGCCTTGCATGACACGGGTGCACTCATATACATGCAGGCAACACGCTCATACTCATAAAACAAAAATAATAAATAAAATATTTTTTAAAAACATATACTTGGGTGGAGTGTGGTAGCATATTCCTTTAATCCCAGAACTCGAAAGGCAGAAGCAGGTGGATCTCTGTGAGTTCAAGGCCAGCCTGGTCTCCATAGTGAGGCCAGTCAGTGCTACATGGTGAGATCCTGTCTCAAAAACAAAACAACAAAAATGTATGTGGTCTAGGGAGATGACACAGTGCTTAAAGGGTCACTTTGCAAATATGAGTACCTGAATTTGGATCTCTAGTATCCAGCTAAAAGCTGGACTCAGAGAAGCACACCTCTGACCAGAGTGCTGGTGGGGGTGGGGGTGGGGCAGGACAGAGCTAGGCAGATCATGGGGCTTCAAGATGTCAAGCAATCTAGCCAACACACAGAGGATTCCTAAAAAT